GGGACAGGAATTTAGTTTTGTTTGTTCTAAAATACTAGCTTCTTAATAAGCTTGAACTGAATAGCAGATAAAATCAATTCATATGTTTAAATGCAAAAAATGTTAATATAGTTAATTTTTATGTGTATGTGTATATGTGTGGAGTGGAGTTTGTGAATACCATCACGTGTGGGGGGACCAGAGGACAACTTACATAAAGAACAGATTCTATCCTTCATCATGTAGGTCCCTGGGGATTGGAACTCAGGACATGGGGCTTGGTGGAAAATTCCTTTACATTGAACTATTGAACTAGCCTCTATCTTCATCTTAAAACTTACAATTATAATCTCAAATGAATTTGGGTGACTGTCAGAGAATTTTGATGCACAGTCTTAAGTAATGAAACTGTATAGAGTTATTGTTTGTTCTCCTCTCCTCTTCTCTTCTCTTCTCTTCTCTTCTCTTCTCTTCTCTTCTCTTCTCTTCTCTTCTCTTCTCTTCTCTTCTCTTCTCTTCTCTTCTCTTCTCCTCTCCTCTCCTCCTCTCCTCTCCTCCTCTCCTCTCCTCTCCTCCTCTCCTCTCCTCTCCTCTCCTCTCCTCTCCTCTCCTCTCCTCTCCTCTCCTCCCCTCCTTCCCTCCCTTTTTCCCTTCCTCCCTCCCCTTCTCTCTCTCCCACTTTCCTTCTTTCAGGTGGCAGAGACAAGTTACTGCCCAGGTGAGCCTTGAAATCAGAAACTTCCAGCCTCAACATTGTCAGTGCTGGGATTACAAGTACATGATACCGTGTTAAGCTTGATTACATATTATAATTATCAAAATAATAATATTTAAAGATGTCCTTATTATCTGAGAAAGAGTTAATACTCTGTACAAGAGTTTCATGTGTTCTCCCAAGAATCTTGTCTAAACTCTGAAGATAAGAACAAGGAAATTCTTACAGATGCTTTTTTTTAATGTCTTCATTGGTCAAAGTTGTCAAGGTTAGAAACTCTCAGAGCAAAGGCTTACTCTGTTGCTTTTCCCTGAAGATGTATTTAACAAGGGCAAACTAAAAAGGAAAACTTGTTTTTAGATTTAAACTGATACAAACTCACAATGGCTCCTATAGAATGGCTCCTAAACCTCTGCTGTACCAAAGACAGCAGGATTTTGCCTTTGCTCCTTGTCAGTAAAATAAGGATGCTAAAAAGATGCTGATGAGAGATGGTTGGGGTTAACTGTGACAGTGAATGTAAGGGAATTGGCATCTGGTAAAGACTATGCAGTGAGAACTCACCTTCACGTGCTAAGAATAGAGATTTACAGCTGGCCACTGTCAGGGAGGAACTGATTGGTATCAACCTGTATTATGTGGTAGAATCAAGGTGAGACAGTAGTAAGCTTTAGGGATGAAACCTCTGAATTTATGTTGATGTCTCCTACTTCAAAAAATGGAACAGTTTTTTTCTAGGCACTTTATCTTCAGGTTTAAAAGCCTCCAGTTGATCACTGAAAATAAATTTACACATTATAAGAAGGAAAGAAATCTTCCTTAATTCTGGCAGTCTCAGGTATTTTTTGAAGTTGTTTTTGTTGTTGTTGTTGTTGTTGTTTTATTGGTCTTAAAACTCTGCCACCAAGCGTGATGACTGAACTGGATCTCTGGGAACCACAAGGTAGAAGGGGAGAACTGACTCACCTAGGCTGTCCTGAGTGTCTGAGTTTTCCTTGTGTACAGTTGGGAAGAGACTTGATTTTCGTAGGGATCCAGATGATTTGAAGACAGCGGTAATCTCATGATAGTGCTCTGATAATAAACTAAGTGCACTTTGGATTTGTAATATCTATTGCCTGTTGATAACTCCATGTTTCTGAGTAATATTTTGGCCCACCATACATTCAGTGTCACTGCCCTCCCCCACTCTGCCAATCCATTTACCCTCGAAACAAAGGACAGCAGATATCAAGAATATTCAGGAACTCAGAATTTGTTATTCCTTGGCGGGCAGAGTTCAATATAGCTTCATATAGCCAAATCAAAGTTTATAAAACGGCTTGTCCTAAGTGGAGAGCAGGAAGGATAGCTGTGAAAACTCATGCTATTTCGAGATGGGCTGTGTCAGACTGTATTTCACAGGATAAATGAGTCTCCTCAAATTAAATGTTTAACACTTCACATAGCAGTAAGGTTTGTCCTTTGGAGCTTCAGGCTCCCAGAACTTTACGGCCATGCTCATCTCCAAGCATATGTTAAGATACTGCTTCATTGTTTGTTCTGCATTTCTGCTCTCTAACATTGCTAACTTCAAAGGAATGTCATGGAAAATGGAAGAGAAAGTTTCTTGTGAGTTAGTAGAATCTTTCTAAAGATTCTCCTTACTAAATTTAAGTCATTGAACTGCCAGAATATCTTTAGATTTCTCACTACAAGGTGCACTGAGAGAAAAAAATCTGGATTAAGTTGTAGTTGTTGGATTTATTAATTTTTTTTCCTATGGTACTGGAGTTAAACTAAGGGATTGGATTCTGCAATCAAAAATAATGTTGACTGATAGATTGTGTGTGTGCTTAAATGTAGTGTGTAGAGATCAGGGCATAATTTTGTGGATTTGTTTCTTCCCTTCCACCATGTGGGTTCTAAGACTTTGTAGAAAGTGTTCTTATCTATTAAGATGTCTCAATAGTCCAGAATGGACCAAAGTAAGCAAAGTACCTTGTACACGCTATAAAGAAATTTGTCTTCTTTAGTTTCAGACAAAGGTAGCATTTCTCTAAACGAATATGTAAGTATGTGATGCAGGAGTGACTATCTGCTCCAATGAAACAGCTTGACAAAATTCCACGTGGCTTCCAAATGAACATGTTAAGTTTTCAAGTTTTTTAATCTAAAAAAAAATCTGTCTTTGATCAATTCACACGGTTTATTTACAAAACCAGGGGAGTACAAATCACTGGGTGTTAGATATGCAGAGATTACATAAGAGGGACCAGAAAATATACTGCTATTTTTAAATCAAATAATGACAGACAATAATTTAGCATAGTCAATAATGGTTATTTTGAGAGCTTGGAGCAGGAATGGCTGTGCTATGGAACTGGGCTCACTAAGTGGAAGAGGTTAAAAGAGGAAGAAGAAGCTTTCTCATGAGCTGAGCATGGGTGCTCACGTAAGGGCTGGGTCATTTCGACAAGAGCTCACTGGAACGATGTATTGGGAAGGAGTGAATCAGATTTTTGCATTTCATATTTTATGTATCTTAAATGCACATAACTCTTAGCCAACTACCAGTTAATTTTCATTAAAAAGAAAATTATAGCAAAAATGGTTTGAGTGTAGAAAATCTCAAATACTCATACTCCTGACAATATTTGCATGTTTGCTTTTTTATTTCTTACTATTCTTAAGTTATCTTGCCAAATTTTAGAAAAGTCTACGTGTATTCTTTGACATTTCAAAAAGCGTTCAGGTTAAGACTTTGGAAGGTTCTTATTTATCTTCACGATTTGCATATTTTGCTTTGCTGCATTCTTTAGTGAGGCATGGGTAGTATTGGCCAGAGGCCAGATAAGAGAGTGTCCTGTGGAACAGGAATTACATGTCACTGCAGAAAAATTTCACTCATAACTTCAGTTGAATTAACTCTCAAATTTACAACACAAGCTATAACTGAAAAAAAAGATGAGGGAGAGCTACTTATACACATTCATGGGAATATACATAGCATACATATGCAAGCAAATATATATTCAAGGAAATTTACTTTTTGCATTTAAGGATCTCTCTCTCAACTTAAATGATGGATTCCTAACTACTTTGGTGATTGATGAATTTTAGCAATTGTACTGCTGCCATCTTGTGGATTATCAGGGCATTAGTCAGTCTTCGGCTTGACAGCTTTTCCTCAACCTGTAACTTTTCCTCATGCCTGTAACTTTAATCGATTTTTGTTTTAGAACATTTAAATTTTAATATATTATGTTCATATTGTATTGAATATAGAATCTTATTTTCCATGGCACTACATGTTTTTCGATAAAACACTCTCAAATTATAAATTAGGTATATATTACTCTACTTTAAAAATTAAACTTGATGTGATGTTATGTTAGTCCACTTTTTCCTAATTCCAGAAAATATCAATTCATGTGTGATGCATAAGTTGTGGACTGACTTTTATCTCTTTTATTGGCCCAGCTGGTTTAGCGACCATCTCTTGTCTTGATTTCAATATGTTGGCCATAATCATCTGTTCTAAGAAGACTGTGGTAATGTCATTCAAAACTCATCTCTTCCATCGTTTATCATGATTCCTCATGATTCTAAGCTCAGTGCCTCAAGTTTCAACACAGGTGTTGGCTCTGTGTGACTTGGTCCTTCTCTCCCATCCCAAGTCTACCCGTGCCCTCCCTGCCAACTCTACCATTTCCTTACTGACTTTCTTCCATTTTCCTTAGAATAATCACAGGAAATTGTTTGTCAGTTGTACAACTTATTGTGACTCATTTACCCATACTTAACGTGTCTTAAAAGCCTTCTCTCCACAGCAGGAAGTATACATCTTACATGTTCTTTTTGAGCAGTATAACTCAAACAGCTAATTATTTTTATAAGTTTTTTTTATTTTATCAATTAAAATAACTAATTATTTTAGCTGATTACTTGTTAAATGTCTGTCTTATCTAATGGCCCATACACACAGAATAGGAAGATGTATAATCATTCTCTTTCATTGTTCTGTCTTCAATTACTTAATAAAACTCTTGGAATGCTATGTGTATATTTCATTATGTCTCTTGAAGGAGCTGAGATAAAACTTAAGCCAAGGTGTCACCTTTTCAACTGTACTGTCTTGCAATCTTCCACTTCCCTCTGTATTTCTTCTTATTCATAAGCTTCCCCTTATAACTAGGAATATCTGTCAGTGTAGGCCAGCTCTCCAAGGACTAGCTTCTCCACAGTGTATCATATCAGCACAAGCACCTAGCTGGCTTGTTTATTGTTCAGTCACCCTCCCTCCCAAAGCAGGTAATCTACTATGTTTTCCAGTGATAATATGATTTTATTAGGATGAATTTTAGAGGTCCATGTAGCTTAATATACCCAGAAAACTAAAAGAAAGATTAGAATCTACAAAGTCTCCAAACAAACAAAAAAGTCAGGACAAACAAAAAAAAGAACAGTGAGCACTTTGAATAAGGTGTGCTGTGATCTTCACTAATACAGATTCTTTCGGACATAATTGGCTATGTACTTGACTGCAAGCATTGTCTCCTCACAGGTTGGGCGGATCTGGGACTCAGGAAGGAGAAAGCCATAGGTGCCTGTATCCCGGAGTTCAAAAGTGAAAGAATATTTTATTCCTTGATCATAAGCCCAGTCATCAGAGCCCCCGGCAGCAAGATCTGAAATGAGAAAACAGCAAAGGAAAAGAAATTAGCAGCTTCTCTGTGTAACCACAAATTCTTCACTGTGAAAAATATTATGGATAGACTAACTATTCAAAGAAAAATGAAGTATTTCAAAAAATCAATCAAATTTTGCCCTAGAATTATTTTATGAGAATGATCTCAGAAAGGACTTTTTAGAGAGATGAAAGTCTCAGTGCACTCATATGTGGTGGGGGAGCGCATTAGGAAGAGTTCACTAAAGAATGGATGTCTTCAAGGGAAGCATAAGCACCTTCAAGTGGAAAGAGGACAGCACCCCAAGTTTCTAGAAACCTAAGAATCATGAAGCTTGGCAGCATGAGGGTTAAGGGTGTCCCACTTCTCTTTTACTACTGGAGACTCAACCTGGATCCTTGTTCATGTTAGGCAAGGCCTTTAACACCAAGGCACGCTACTCCTACTCACTAGGTTTGCACCTTTTATCTTTGGTGTCTGACAACTGCCCTGGCATAATTATTCATTCAGCTGATTCATTATATTATAATTTTGTTGTCACTAATATGTTTGTTTATTATTGTTCATTGATTTAAATCAAGAACTGACCTTCTCCCACTGAGCTGCAAACCATGTGCTCATCTCTAGAGATGCTGGGACAAGAAGAGATATTGTCCCTACCCCTTATTGTCTTGCAGACAGTGGCAAGATAAACATAATTGAACTTATCTGAATAAACCCATGGTTAAAAACATTGGTGAGCAAGTAAGTCATCTCTGCTAGAACCACCTTAAGAAGACACCTTATAAAATGAGGCCACAGAAGGTACTACTCCATTGTCAGCTTAACAAACGCAGCAGCTAAGGCTGGAGTCTCCTCAGTTGCAGTGGAGGCCCTTTGATGACACCAGACTGAGTCTTTTTCCTTGTGTCGTTTTCTAATCCTTTCAGAATTTGGGCAAAAAGAAATCACTGGAGGGGAGAGGAAATCCAAAATTGGTTCTGAGGATTGTGCCTTTTAAGGTAATTTTGAACTCTGCAGTGACCATAATGCTGAGGTCTAGTTCAAATCTTTTCTTTCTGTTGTGTGTGTGTGTGTGTGTGTGTGTGTGTGTGCATGCTCACACGCATGCTTGCGTGAACACGTGCATGTTGCATTGTGTAGACGGCGGTACTGAATTCCTTGGAACTGGAGTTATAGGAGTTTGTGACTCAACCATGTGGGTAGTGGGAATTGAACCAGGGTTCTTTGTCAAAGCCGTGTCATTCTCATATTGTAGCCCCTCCTTTCTTCTTCCCTTTAAGACCTCTTCCCTACCCTCCTCTCCTGGCCCTTCTCTAGTTTCCTGTCATTCATATACACTGGCTCTGGAACAAATACACACATATGTAAAGCCAAGATTTGCAGTTAGTGAGAACATGCAGTCTTTGTTTTTATAGTCTGGGTGACTCTACTCTGTGTAATATTTTCCAGTTCCACCCATTTTTTTCTTAAAATTGTACAATTTCATTTTTTCTTTATGGCTAAATAAAATTCCACTGTGTATCTATTTGCCTTGCTGTGTGTGTGTATATCTGTGTATGTGTGTGTGCGTGTTTTGTTTGCACACATGGAGAAATTGGATTTTTCTGAAGAGCGGTTTATTCCTCAAGAAACCCTCTTTCCTACCACTCTTTTAACGGATAAATTACTTACTACTGTGTTTTCACACTGCAAGGATCCTTCAGTTACGCATCTGAGTGACCACCTTGGATATAATATCCTCAGCACGCACGACACTTGGTCTGGGTGTGTTCTTACTTTGTAATATTAAGGTCATCTCTCTTAGCAGCTGTGTCTTTCCATGCTTTGCGATGGTGGCTTCTTTGAACATTGCCTTTGTCTACCTGCTCCCTCTCTTCTTCCTGCTTCCCTACTTTGTATCCTTCCTTCCTTTTTGTTTTTGCATCTACTGAGATCTTGGCACACAGTGGAGGCCCAAGAAATGCATATGGAAATGTGGTTTGGAAGGAATATTTCTTTCTCTATCTATCTACTGAGTAGAAGAATACATATTTCACTTAAAAGTCACTGTGTGACAAAGTTATATATTTTCAATGGGGAGAAAAGAAATGCAGTGGGAAGCATTTGTTCCTTCCTAGACATATGATTTCTTTGCATAGTTGTGAACCCTGGACTCACAGATTGTTGTTGCTCCTGGGCCATATGTGTACTTGGTGCCATACAGAGAGGCGAGTTCCTTGGCTGCACCTTTCACCAGGGCATTCTGGAAAAGAATCATGAGGAAGTGAAAAAATGAAAACAACCATGCCTAACAACCACACACCCTGTACACTTGAAAAAAAAACGAAGATATTTATGACACATTTGAGGGTTAATATTTTACGCTTTTTCAATGTCTATTTCAAGTTTTCCAGTTTAGTAATACTGAAATTCACAAGGAAATCTTGAGAAAGGATGTCTTCCCCAGTGCAAAGCAAAGACCAGGAAGGCTTTATGCTATAACAAAGGTTGTTGACGTCATTGCACAGGAACAATACTTGAAAAAGACAAACAAAACAACCATGACTTGACCATGTGATAGGTAAAGAGCAAACACTGAGTCATTACAAGATGGTATGATTAAGGGCCAGAGTACTAGCAACTGAGCACACAATGATTGTGTAGAAAATGTAACTGTCTTTTGGAGTACATTCCTGTCTGAGACTGACATTGGCTTCTAAGGGCTGTTCTTTTATTGTTATCACTATTAAAGGAGCATTTAGTGTGTGCCTCAGCCTCTCCAGCGCCTGTCCTCAAACGCTCTCTCATATGGACAACCATTTTAGGATTACCTCACCATCCATCTTCAATTACTCTAACTTCCTCTTCTGGTGAAAAGACTCAATGTGAACTCACTTCAGAGGTCTGTCTCAAGTCTCATCTCATATTCTTTCTGATGTAGGATTTCCTAAATGGGCCCCGTACCCCTCAACTTCTTCTCTTTATTGCTGACTTTAGGTATTCTTCTTCCTTCATTGAATGCCCTTCCCCCTCTTGGCTTAAACAGAGAGTTTTTAATCATCTCTCAGGTGTACTTTCATGTTATCTTCTCTGTGAATTTGCTCCCTCACTCTCTTTAAGAGCAATGGTCTCTATTTTGCAGTAGTTCCTGTCTATCAGAGTTCCTTCAGCCCATTGAAATCAGTTTTTCGGGCATCTATTATTTATATTATTTCTCTGGAGGATTTGTGGCTAGTCTTTTTTTGAATTTTTGTTCTGTATTCTTTATATATAGCTCAATTGACATTGAACTTAAGATTCTTATGCCTCGGCTAGGGTATTCATTTCTATCCTCAGAAGGCCACTCAGTACAGGTTGGTTGAGTGAGTCCTGTACTGGGCTCAGGAACATTATAAATAGGACATATCTGGATGGGTCACATTGTACCAAGCTTTTCAAGATGGATTGTGACTTCCTGAGCAAGCAGAGACTAAGGATGGTATGGAAGTGGGCATGATATCATGTATTTATGGCTGATTGAGTGTCATATTTAGATGCTGACATTAATTACAAAGGGAGAAACCTAGACTCTTTTTCTAACTCATTTAAAGCTAAAAGACATAAAAAAGACAAAACAATATTAATCAGTTAAAATATTGTATGTTAAATTCTAATTATCTTAACAAAATTCCGTACAATCAGTATAGGTCTTTTCTTTTGACAAATTCAAATAATTTCACCACATGTACTCATTTGTCTTCCCAATATCATCAGTCCACATTATAATACCATAGAATTTTCCAGCAGAATTCAATGCTGTGTGGAAGAGCACACTCAATGGGAATGTTGCAGATGAATACCTAGCCCCTGTTGAAAACTGTGGGTGAAAGTGTGATTCTAGCATTTGCCACAGTGTGTGTGTGTGTGTATGTGTGTATTTCATTTAAAAATCACTGTATATATGTGTATACATACACACACACATATAAAAGTGTATAAATATACATACATTTATATATGTTTGTTTATATATGGGACTAGGGAGCCAGAAGAACCAAAAAATAAAAATAAAAAAATAAAAAAAAACCAATGCAGAAGACCTACAATTCAAAACTCTGGTTAAGGACACTGTCATTGGAACCTGTCATTTGAGGAACAGGGTTTGAAACTATGACTAATGCATACATAGTACATTAACCTTATACTTCATAAAGAGTTCTTCCTAACAGCTAGAAGCAAAATGCAGAGGGACTAAAAGAACATGCCCAAGGGTATGTAGCCAGCTGTGGCCAGCTTGAACTATGACATTCTTTCAATTTACTCTGAAAGAAGTGTTTTTGGAACTGGTTTCCTGATTGCCAAGAACAGGAGGAGTTTAATATACATCAGCATAGATAAAGTCAAACATGGCCTTTATTAATCCTTAGCTTTGAGTGTCCTACTATATTTTATGCAGGTTTTCTTAATGTAGGAGCATTTAAAGAAAAAGACAGTGTAAAATGTCACAAACCTGAGGGAAAAGAGTACCACACTAGTCACTGGGCCTTAGGTTGTTGGGGCCCAGTGTGATGAACAGCAGACAGAGTTCTTCTCGAACCTGTGCTCCAGAGACCTCAGGCTAAAAACATCTCTGCACATGACGCTCATCCAAGTCCTTGCACACTACTAGAATTGGGCTAAATTTCCAGAGCCAATTATTGCAATATAGGAAAACAAGATCCCACAACCAAGTCTGAGGTATGAAATAATTCTAGAAAATTTAACTTGACCACAATTTAACTGCCCTTGTCGATGAACACATGTGATAATGGGAACCTCAAGTTATCTCTAACTTTGGTTTCCTTCCTCCTGTCCTGTGATTATCTCAACTTATACCAAGGGGCCAATAGGAAATGTTACTTTTATAATTTTGCTGCCTAATGAGGTCTTTAGCTTCAAGCCGGCACCAAAGAGAAAGCACTTGGACCTGGGAAATTCCTGGTTCTGAGGAACAATAGCAGTGAAGAAAAAAGTCAGGAAACAACTGGTGTAGGCCAGCTGGGCTGCTCCCTCCCCCAGATCCTGGGAGCAATGTGGGCTAGAGGAATGCTACCATTGACATGAAGCAACTTTTCCCTTCTCTTGACCTGCATGCCTATTCCTTACTCTTTGACGGTCAAGGAAACTGATGGTGAGTCAGTTGAATTTGTAGTCCACAGAGTTTTTCTTTTGGTAAAAATGGTGTTTCTCCCAAATACATTTTAAAAATAATTATTGCATAACACAGGAAAGGGGTAACCTTTGGCTACTGACATTTGCAGAATGTCATATTTCATTTTTGAGGAAGATATAAGATCCTGTGAAAGCCAAGAGCCTTTGGTCAGAAATGTGACTCTGCTCTTACCTTTGTGTAGAGAAGTTTCTCAATCTCTGCTCTCCTGGTATTTGACTGGATTACTGTGTGTTTTTATGGGGGGAAGGTAGGTCTCCTCAGACACTGTTGCATGTTTATTAGCATTCTCTGTCCTCTACCAGAATATGTCAGTAAGCTCACATAGTATGCCAATCATAATGTCACACAAACATTACCAAATGTCTTCTCTGGGTATGAGTGCATAGAAAATTGGTACAAAGTGAGGTAAAAGACACAGTTATGGCAGATGAGAATTTAGGAGAAAAGTTAAAAAGGAAGATATAGGTTTTGAAGGTGTCTCTGCTGATGATGTTTTAGATATGCCTCCAGCACCTTGGTTCCCCAAAATACCATCTTGCCAGCAAGATTAATAGATTTAGCAAAAATATAGACTCCCAATTAAATGTAAACTTCAAATAAACTAGGGACATTGTTCTATTATGAGGATTTGAGAAACTATTAAAGTAAAAAATTAGTGATTTTATGGAAAACTAAATTAAATAGGGAGTCATGTAACAAACCTAACTAGTATTTACCACATCTTTAGCTTCATGGCTCACTGTGATATATGCTCCTATTTTGACATCCAGGGTCTTCCACAAGATGTTCAACTTTACTGCCCACCTTTTTTATTTTTTTCTTTTTCTTTTCTTTTCTTTTTTTTTTCCAAGAACACTCCTTAACTCTGTTTTTCATCCTGACTTTTGATGGTTTTATTCTATGTTTTCAATGCTCCCTCCTTCCCTGTCCATCTGAATCATGTCCAATCCTTAACTCTCAGAATAAATATCACATCACCCTCTCTCTCCTCCTCCTGCTTTTCTAGATAAGGTTTTTCTATTTAGCCTCGGCTGTCCTAGTACTCCCTATGTAGATCAGGCTGGCTTTGAATTCACAGAAATCAACATGGCTCCACTGCCTTTGTGCTGAGAATAAATGCATGCGCCACTTCTCCAGCTGCTTTCTTATTGAATATGTAACACTTGTTACCATTTCCCTCCGATGAATCCTACAGCTGTGCACAGTTAAACATCTGGTTATGTACTGTATAGTTTCCTGCCTCTGAGTTTCAGTAAAATCCTAAGTTTTTAAATGGCAGGGGCCTTAATTTATGAAACCTAGTATGCACTCAGTACAGTTTCTCTTAAGTCATGTACTATTGTCCCAGGAGGAGAATTTTATCAATCCAGGAACTCTGTAATGATATATTATCAACAAGCTTCTCTGTTAAAAGACATTTTATGGTTTCATCTAAAATTTTTGGGTAGTTTTTTGTTTGTTTGTTTTTGAAATGAGAGATTCTGAGAAAATACTTTAGATACTTTATGCCCCAACCTCTATTCTCCTTAGTTGTTAGCAGCCCATTGACTGTGGTATTATGTCCTTGCTAATCCAGTGATTAGGTAGGCACATAGTGTCAGCTGTGATGGGCATGTGCATAGCACTGTCTTTGTCTATCTTCTAATTAATATTTATTACTTTTTAATCTTTACATTTGTTTATAAATGTGACTTTACATTTCATTTATATCCTTGTGTAAGGTGTTAGACATCCTTGTGTAAGGTGTCAAGATTCCTTTTTTTTGAGACAAATTAAATTGTGATTACCAATTTGTACTAACACACTCAGCTTGACAGGATTCTATTTTTGTAGCTCACTAATTAAAGTTTCATGAAGAAGCAGTGAGTGACATGCCATTGAATTGGAAGGTGGTTTTAATCTGTGGTGACATTTAACAGTTTTTCAGAGTATTGTCATTTTTTCTGGTTATTGTCATCTTTCTGCTTTTGGATAATGAATATATACTCATTAAAAGAATGGTCTGTGATTTAAGATTTTACCCTGAGAAGTAAGTGTTATCAGTCAATCTAAGTTAATACTTTGTAATATACAAAGTCAGTGGTAATCACAGGTGGAATGCAAAAACATTTTTAATGAATTTCCTCAAGAAAGTTGATAGTGTACCATAATAGAATGTGTAGAATGTGTAGAAGTATGTGGGCCTTAAATTGGTAAGTAGTATTGACCCAGATATAAATCTACACACCTACGAACACCTAATTTTTAAAACAAAAGAATTCAGAAATACACATGGTAAAAGAATAACATCTTCAACAAATGGTGCTGATCAAACAGGATGGGAGAAAGTAGAAAAATACAAAGAGATCCATACTTATCACCCTGCACAAAACTCAACTCCAAATTCATCAAAGACCTCACCATAAAACCAGTACATTGAACCTGACTGAAAAAAAAATTGGAAGAACAGCCATGAACATATTGGCACAGGAAAAGACTCCTTAAACAGAACACAAATGGCAAAAGAACTAATATGAGCAATTAATAAATAAGACCTCATAAAACTGAACAGTTTCCACATGTCAAAGGACATTGTTAAGAGAACAAAATGGCAGCCTACAAAATGGGAAGAGATTTTTATCAACTACACATCATAATAGAGGGCTAAAATACAAAATATATAAAGAACTCAAGAAACTAAATATCAAGAAAATACACCAACTTAAAAATAGGGTGCAGATCAAAACAGAATTCTCAATACTGGAAATCCAAATGACTGAGAAGCATTTAAAGAAATATTCAATATTCTTAGCTATCAGGAGAATTAAAACCAAAACAATTTTGAGATTTCATGTTATACCTGTCTGAATGGCTAAGATAAATAAAACAAATGCCAGCTTAAACTTGCAAGAATATGGCATGTGGCGTAGGAGGTGGGGGTCACTCTTTAATTGCTGGTAAGAGTTAAACTTGTATAGTCACAGTGGAAATCAGTGTGGAGATTCTTCAGGAAGATGTGAATCAGTTTTTTTCAAGATTCAGCTACACCACTCCTGGGCACACACTCAAATGATGCTTCATCTTACCAAAAGTACACTTGCTTAACTTGCTGCTCTTATTGCTGCTCTATTCATCCTAGTCAGAAATTGGAAATAACCTAATTGTCCCTCAACAGAAAAGATAAAGAAAATGTAGTACTTTGACATAATGGATTATTATTCAACTATTAAAAAAACTGACATCATGAAATTCAAAGGTGAATGTATTGAACTAGAAAAAAATCATTCTGAGATCCACAAAGATACAAACAGTATGATTCTAATTATTTGTGGATATTAGTTGGTAATCAGGAATCAAAGGTTATGTATAGAGTAAGGGCCTACAAGGTGACAGAGAAATAGAGTAGATAGTTAGGGATGGATGGTGGAGGGACTAGAATGGAAAGATCAAGTGGGTGAGAGGAATGGAGTGGGACGTGATTCAGGGGATATGAGAAGAGACAGTTAAAATTCAGGGACATTTGAGAGGTAATATGGAAATATAGTAGGTACTTTCTAGAATATGTATATGAAGGTGATCTAATTGAAAAAAAATAATGGGGATATCGTCTATCAATCTGCCATTTCTTGTCACCAAACAAAAATTCTGGTACTGAGATTTGGTTACTGGGTCCCATGGTGTGCTGGTCTGAATGAAAATAACCCCAGTACTTTCATAGGGAATGGTTCTACTTGACAATTATAAAGTATTGTTTCTTGGAGTAGGTATTGTCTTGTTGGGGGAAGTGTGTTACTGGGAGTTACAAATGCTCTAAGACACGTGGAAATTTCCAATCCACGCAGACTTTGCAAGACAATTGATTGCTCTCTACAAACATACAGCAGGTTCCCATTTCTGAGGACAACACCTAGAAAATTCATTGAACATGGAGAAGCTGAGCTTATGCCTACAAGAGCCTTCACCCCTATGTTTTAGCATCTTTTGTACATGAAGGTACTCTGCATACTATAAAAAGAGAAATGTAAACACAAAGACAGCCACAAACCCCTTGATCTAAAATGGTGTACTACCTAAAAGATATGATAGGGGAATGTCAGCAGAAAGCTTGTGGGAGTAACCAACTAATATCTGATTTCACATAGGCCCACTTCACAAGATAAAATCCATTTTAACATTGCTTGGGCAATCAAGAACTGAAGACTAGATATCTCAGGGACCTAGGGTAAATCTAAATACTATTGCTATAAAAAATACAAATAAAATGATTTATTTTCTGTCACTCATATGAGTATTCTGTCACTCATAGATCAGTGCTTTGCTGAGCCATCATCAGAGATGCTTCCTCCTGCAGAAGATGGGAAGGAACACAGAGATTCGCAGGTAGACATTTTGTAGAAGGTGAGAGACCTTGAAATTTTTCAGCTCTACTTAGAATGTTTCCTTCAATTCCAGCCCCCTCTGGAGTTCAGCAATCCCTGAGAAAGAGGAGTCAGAAAGGGTGTAAGAGCCAGAGCAGATGGAGAACAACAAGAAGCAAGGGCCTCTAAATCAAAATGATGAAACTTCATATGAGTCACAGACTGAAGCAGAATGTGTAGAGTCAGCACAGGTCTGTATCCCACCCTCTACATAGATTATGGCTTCAAGTTTAGTATTTTTATGGAACTCCTGAGGGATCAAAGAGACAGGTTTCTGATTTTTGTGTTATCTCTTGATCTCTTTTCCTTCTGTTGGTTTGTCTTATCTAACTCCTTTATGATAGATTTTTATTATAATTTATTTTGTTATATTAAATTATCCCTTATAACTATTATGTTTACTAATTAGAGGCAAAAAGGAAGTGGATTTGGGTGAGGGGAGGAAGGGCAGAAATGGGCAAAGTGGAGGGAAGTAAATCATAATCAGGATATATTATGTTAGAAAAAAACTATTTTCAATGAAAGAAAAAAAGTTCTTGGATATGGTGGCAAACTAAAAAATTTTCCAATAGCCGCTATCTCAAGGCTCAGGGTTACCATACCCTTACTATTAGTTTCAGCTTCTCTAAGCCTTCATGTCTAGGCTGGAAAATGAGAAGCAGACCAGAGGATTTCTTAAATTATCTTATAATTTCTAATGTTGAAAGATCTTTTTGTTCTGGACTGGCAGTGTTGGGTTTACTCTGCTTTCTTTTGGATCAGTGTGTGAGGTGGGATAAGGAACTTAGCTGCTGTTCTTCTAGCTTCCTGCTTCTCACTTTGAATTATTGCAATATTATTTATTACTGTTGCTAACTAGTCTATATGTATCAACCAAGGACTTGGATATTTTTCACAACTGGTATATGCAGTCTTATGGTTAGTACTGGAGAGATTTCCATCTATGTCTCACAGTTTTTAATTTTCTCTGATCATAAATAAATCTCAAAGTTTATACTTCCTTGTCCTTTAAAATTTTGAAAATCCAAGTATAATTTCTGAGCCTTAAAACTTCATTTGAAGATAAAATAGCATTAAATAATAATGTCTACAAGAAGGACTGCATGGTTTGTGAATCCAGAGGAGTCATGAGCACTTTGTGTTCTTATTCTAAATTATATGAAATGGATAAACACAAATTGCACTCCACATATTCTTACTATTCCTGCATTTTTATTGTTCCTCTGGATATGTATTTTTAGAAGTCATTTTTAATCTATAGAGCTACTTTTGTTTTAATTTGTGTGTGTGTGTGTTACCAATTCAAATGCTCTCAATCCTGTCTTGCTCTTTTGGGCCATTGGTCTCAACTTCTTATAGCCAGAAACTTAAAAATATTATACATATATATATATATATATATATATATGACTTTAAAATATATTTGCATCGATGTTTGATACTAATGTGACTTCTATGAACTTATAATAATTAATTGCTTTCGCGATTATATCTTGATCGTTGAACAATACTGCTAATATTTTCAAAGATACTTAAACTTTTAAAAATTGTTCCCTATATTTAGAAAGCCTCAATCATACTATTTGATTACTGAATGATTTATTATTGTTTTATCTGATCAAACAATAAAACAAACAATTTTAGAATCTCACAGTAAGTAACAAAACCACTAAATGTTACAACTTCTTAATGCCATTTGCCATATTCTGTTCAAGTCAAATCTACATCAAGCAGATTGGCCAAACATACTGACAAAAATGAGTTGTGCTCATCAAGGACTTTGTTGGTTATCTCCAATATGACAAATAGTCCTTTGATAAGTGTTGTGATTTGAAAATGAAATGTCCTCCATATGCTCATGTGTCCCAATACTCAGTCTCCAGCTGGTGGAACTGTTTGATCTTTGGGAGTTAGAGTCTTACTGGAAGAAACATCTCACCAGGGACAGGATTTGTGGTTGTGCAGCTTAGCCCTACTTGTGTTCTTTTTCTCTGGGTTTTCCCCCCATGTGTGTATAAAATGTGTCCTCTCTGCTTTCTAACTGCCAGAGCAGCCTCATGCTCCTGACCTGCCTTCTCTGCCATGATGAACTTTAACTCCTCTGGAACCCTAAGGCAAAATAAATCTCTTTTGCCTTTGCTAGCTTTTGGTCAGGGTATTTTTTATCACAGCAACAGTAATCACTATTGTGGAAAATCTAAAGGCAACTACAGTCATCTTGAATATTAGTAAATAAATCACATTCAATGGAAATTTTTCTCTGTATCAAAATTCCATTTACTCAGATAATTCAATTCCTTAATATATAGTATACACATATATACAGGCCACACACACTCACACACACACATGCACACACATACACAATACACAATCTTTACTCATGATACTAGAAAGTGAACTTCCAGAAATTGTTCTGACAACTTTTTCAGAATCAGAATAAAAATTTTCAACACTGAAATGGTCTACTCCCTCACCCCACATTGCAAGCACTCACCAATTCGTCATTGTTACTAGGCAGCTTATTGGCATAGGAGTAAGGGTAGAGCATCATCTGGGAGTACGAGTGAATTGTCAAATAGGCCTTGATAGAGGAGAGGTTCTGGCGGATGAAATCTGCCAAGGCCTTTGTCTCCTTTTCAGACTCTGCGGCTGGTCCACAGTAAGTGTCAGAGCAGGGACTTCGAGAAGCTCCCACTTCTGCAAAAGTGTATATTTCTATTAGTGGCCCATAATCACCTGCTGAAGTTCTCATAGGAGATGTTAGGTGTTTCAGATTTTCAAATTAGAAAGCAAGATAATATAAGGCATTATGTTAGGAGTCTTTACAACAATTCTTTATGATTTCTCATCTATCTGCTATCTATCTATCTATCTATCTATCTATCTATCTATCTATCTATCATCTATCTACCTATCTAATGTATATCTATCTATGCATACATTTGGATGTTTTTAAGCAAATATAATAAGGAATTACACATGAAATCACTAATATTTTTCCATTTTAGGTCTTTTTTAACATCAGTTTTTATGAAGACAAGTAGTATCTGTATGTTCTGACTGTACTTCAGTCTATACTGTATATATGTATACACAATGAGATCAAGACAATATAGGAAAATTAATAGTTTAGTTTTTATTAATCATATTCATGAAAAATCCTATGTTACTATGATCACTTAATCACATCACAATTTTCTTTAAATGATTATTTTTACTAACTGTGTCTAAACGACAGTTAGATTAGATTCTATAAATACATTTCTCACATTATTGGATTATGTCAGGTATGTCAGTTGGAGCTTTCAGAATTTAACATAAATATGTTCTGGGAACATAACACAAAATTTTGTTTCATATATTTTAATCAAATGAATCGATAAACTATTTTCTGTGCTTTGAGAAAGCTAAAATTCTAAAACATTAAACTTACTTTATAGTTTTTCTCACTTTGAATATTTACCTCTTGTTGTCTTATGCTACTTTACCTCTTACACTTTTTAAGAAATGGTTAGTCAGACAGATACTCACCACACCAACCAGCATTAAAATTTCTGTTTGGGTCTACACCCACACAGGAACTTCCAGCCTTAGTAGAGCGGGTCTTTCTCCACATTCGACTCTGAAAGTAGATTATATGGCTAGATCAGATATCACAGGAAGTAACTGGTAAGAATTCCATAAGTCTTTCTGAATTTATGTACCTTTGTCCAGGTGTAGACATAGCCGTCAATGTTGACCACAGGCAGAACATAAAAGTCCAGTTCATCAAGAAGCTGTGTCATCTGGCTCTCTTGTCCATAGGTGCCAACAGCCTGTATGTGAATAACAGTGTGGGATTTCATGGGATGAAAGGGATGATGCTATCAAAATTTAGATGACCTGTATACATGTTGACTTTGGTAATAGAAGCAGGGTTCTCTGCCTTGTTGCCAGCCTACATTTAAATTCAAACTTTCCCTGGACTTTCTTGGATGAAACATTGCAAATTAATTCAGAAGTTCTTTGAACAAAAGAAATTAGATTTCATATAACAAATTTGTATATTTTTAAAAATATCAATGTATGCAGTTTAGATTTACAGAAAAACTATAAAAATAGTGCAGGGAGTTCCTACACATTTTTATCTAGACTTCCCTAATATATCTCCTAAAAGTCTCATGATCTAATCTTTGTAGCCGTCAGAGGGTTTACTGAAATCCTTATTAGTATGATATTGTAAAGGCAAGGTTGTTCAATATTTTGCATATATTGGCTGGAATTCTCACTCTTTTAGCTGTCAGTCAGTCAAACAAAGGCAGGTGAGAAAGTACAATTTAGAGAAATTGAAATAAACCTGTTTTTCTAACTTAAAGATGCATCTGTCAAAGGTCTGTTGACACATGTTAAAACTAATTTCCCTCAATAGGAACTGGGAATTTTGGCTTTTGCGCGAGCGCGGGTGGTGTGTGTGTGTGTGTGTGTGTGTGTGTGTGTGTGTGTGTGTGTGTGT